GCTAAAACCCTAAATTCCTGGAGGACACCAATTTGGAGAAGGACATTAATTTATATTTTGATTTGCTCCAACAAGATCATTCTTTTTCATGAATGAAGGCAAATCTATGTGTCCCAGAACAATGTTGCAAGATCCAACACCTTCTCTCTACTGTATTCACTCCGGTGGAGAGAAGTTCCTGGAGGATGGGCTCCACCATAAGTCCAAAAGCTCAGAACAGTAGACCTCTGGTCCCGGTGACCGACCCAGATTGGATCCATTAACCTTCCAAATTCTGATGAGTCTTGCATTCCAAAGAACAGACAAAAATTCCCAGCTCTCGGTAACATCTCTCCCCTTGATTCAAGCGTTGTGAGATACCCAACATCCATCATATCTCCCGCATCCAGAAGAGTGGCTTTTAATTTCACGGTGGTTGCTAATTCCCCTGCATTCAGCCCGGTTGGAAATCGGTGACGAGGTCTGCAAATGGAGGAGTAGCTGATCAACATCTGGACATCATGTTCCATGGAAGGATGAGAAGATTCGAATGGAAGTCAGATGGTGACCATCACATCCTAAGATCTTCATCGGGGATGTAGACTAATGGCACGATGTTAAACTTGTGCATCCTGGAAAAGAGAAAACCAAAAAAAGCACAATAACTCTTGGCTAATTATGTGAAATTTGAATTAAAAATAGTAGAAATGGCTACCACTGATGTTGCTACCTAGTTGGGTAATAAAACATCTGCGAGAAAACCACCAAGTTCAGAGAGCACCAAGGACCCCATAGTTGTCGTCGTCGTCCTCCTCCTCCTCCTCCTCTTCCTCCTCCTCCTCTTCCTCCTCCTCCTCTTCCTCCTCCTCCTCCTCCTCCTCTCTCCACAAGCTCCACTCCCTTCTAGCCCTGATGTTGTTACCTAGTTGAGTAATGAAACATCTGCAAGAAAACCACCAAGCTCAGAGAGCACCAAAGACCCCACAGTTCAACCCCGAAGCCATAAATATTCTCTTCTATTGACGCTAGAACTTCTCCATCGTTTTGTCCCAAAAGTGCTTTTTCAAAAGGCAACTGGACTTTGTGTTTCCATGAAGACGTTTCGCTCATGAACTGAAGAAGCTTCTTGGATGAGAAGTGAAACATCTTGAAAGAAAAACCAAGGAAGTCCAGTTGTCTTTTGAAAAAGGACCTTTGAGACAACTATGACCTGGATGACCGAGAATCTCCATAGATATTCTCCATCATTTCCATTCTGGAGCTCCAGCGGTGTTATGTTATTAATACTGGCTCACAATGGATGATGGGATAAGTGCCTTCACTCAACACACTTGTGTTTTGGTGGGCATTCACTCCTCAAACTCCACCCTTTCCATCCAGAACCAGATTCTCAGAATTGAATTGAAATTTAAATGGGACAACCACAGATAAAGCTGAGAAAAGAATTCATATTTCCACATATTTCCATGATTTGTGTAAAACTCAAAAATAAAATGGAGAATCCTATGGTGGAGCTTTTGATAAGACTAAAACACTCGTTAACGAAATGAACAAATTAACGTTAGAATTAAATGAGAAAGAAGACTCAGAATATTATACGGTGTGGGATGATTGGTACAGGTGGATTGATAATAGAATAAAGAATAGATAAAAGTTAATATAAATCTTAAGATGCATATGTAAATTACATTATATTACGATGAAAAGTAAAAGAAGAATCAATCTAACCTGTGTAGAAAAATAACAATGTCTGACTGATTGTACTGTATTGTATTATAATAAATTTCAATAATTTTTTTTTTTAAAAAAAGACAAAAGCACTCATAACAAAAAATAAAAAAGTGGGATCCTCAATGCCCTGTGAACTTGGTTGTTTTCTTTTCTTTTCTTTTCTTTTCTTTTCTTTTTTCTTTTCTTTTCTTTTCTTTTTTCTTTTCTTTTCTTTTCGAACATAGAAACGTTTTAATTCTTATAAAATAAGGGAATGGTTGAAAAATATAGCTAAAATGGATTCTTGCTTTCACTTAATAAATGCCAGAATAGGATTTCATCCAACCTGAAGAGCTTTATCAATGAGCTCTAATAAGGTAGAAATATACATAAATAGAACTTTATTAGCGATACATTATTAACATTAACTCAAGTTCGGCAGAGAAACATTTTGAAAATTACATAAGCAACTTGTCAGAGGAAGTGGATATAATGGACAAAAACCATCCATGTCTAAGACTTTGGACAGAGAGCATGATAAAATACGTTAGATGGTTTATGAAACAGAACACTATTTCATAAACAGGTAGTCATCCATTAACGTTGATAGAAGTTCAGAAGAAAGAGGTGGAGAATGAATGCACATTTCTTTCTCTCTTCTAAGCAATGTGTTAGCTCTGTTTATGCTAGGTACTAATACATGGATCGTTTTATGAGCCCTTGTACATGAGACTAAATATTTAACAGAAATATCCATGGAGGAAAAAAATCATTTTAATCTGTGAGCTTGGTTGTTTTCTTGAAGACATCACATTACCCAACTGAGTAACATCATCATCAATTGGATAATGAGATGTCTGTAGGACAACAACCAAGCTCAGAGCTACTATATATATAAACAGGGAGCAAGTTACATTCACTAGCACTGATGTTATTACCTACTTGGGAAATGAAATTTCTGCAAGTCAACCACCAAACCAAGGACCCCCTCATTTTAACCTTGAGCTACTTCAATTTTGAGATGCTGTCTTCTACTGCTTAAAAATAACACTGCCTGCCCACTTTGTCAAAGAACCACACTACCATAAAGTCATAACACATTAAGCCTCACTTACCGTCAAACAAGACTCTGGCCCCTGTGATGTTCCGCTGAAGATTGAAGATATGTGAGAATGAATCCTTTAACAAGAACCAGCCAATCAATTTAAGTCATGAATGAATGAAGAGTTGCAGAAGATCCTGGTTCCATACAACAAGAGCTTCTAGACTAGTAGCAATCCTAATTAGGAGGGGAAGAATTGATGGTGGAGCTTGCACTGTTTCACCTGACTTGTGAACAGGTGTGACAGAATGAAGGTTCCTTCAGGTCCACTAAGCAGCCAGTGATGAGGGGGAAGGCAAAGCTGCAGTTTCTCCCAAGATACGGAAAGATGGAGAAGAAGTGTCCAAGATCAGAAAAAAGAACACATTTCTTCACGTAGCTCTTGTGTAACAGCTCTCCCAGCTGGAGTCAACTGTGGGAACGTTGGTCCAAATATCTGCACATACATACAGTCACCATATTGCCACTTAGAAGGCAGAATGGCATGGTGGCCTAGTGGTGAAGATGCTTGCCTCCCACTTGGAAGGTTGAGAGTTCAATCCTAGGTAGCGACAGACATTTCTCTCCCAGGGCGCAAAGAAAAAAAATATCTGCTGTGAACTCTGCATAGGTGTCAGGAAGGGCATCCAGCCAGAAAATGCTCATCTCCATCCGGTCACCCCGACTCTAACCCCAAATTAATTACAGGGTCATAAAAAGGGAGTTTTATTGCCATTTACAAGACATACTACAAGAAGTCATTGTTTTGACTAAGGCTCCCTTAACAAGCAAGAATCAGGAATTGGTCCCAGCAAAACCTCTTTTATTTACACGACTGTGAATTACGTTCATTCACAGTCAGCAAGGTTTGTCCAAACAGTTTTTCAAAGGAATATTTCTCAACACATTTTATCTTGTTTGGCAAGCTGCCATGTAACTTGTTTCCAACCGCAGTACAAGGGAAAACTTGGAACAGTCTCTCAGAGTCACGGAATGAACGAATTGCTTCCTGAAAAAGCTCACTCCCTGTTCGCTCCTCTTTTTTTAAAATTTGATTTATATGCCGCCCTTCTCCGGAAACTCAGGGCAGCTAACAATGCACTAAGCAATAGCCTTCATACTTTTGTATATTTTATACAAAGTCAGCTTATTGCCCCCACAAACTGGGTCCTCAATTTACCTACCTTAGAAAGGATGGAAGGCTGAGTCAACCTTGAGCCTGGTGAGATTTGAACCTGCAGTAATTGCAGGCAGCTGTTCTTAATAATAGGGTGCTTTAGACCACTGTACTACCAAGGCTCTTTTGTTTCCTAGGGGAGGGGCCAATCACCTCCAAAGTGTGGCTTTACTCCCGAGTTGACCCTGCTTTCTGAGTTGTTCTTGTCTTCTGGCAGCTCTGTGCATGCACACACTGGGAACGGGCTCCAGCTGTTCCTTTGCCTCACTGCTGTCTAACTCCCTCTCTGCCTCCAATGCAGAGCCCTCGTCCGAGCTTTCCCCAGCCCCCAGGACTGGCCCAAGTTCCTCCCCAACCTCCTCACTGTCCAACTCTGTTGCCAGCTCCGCTGGCAGGCCACAACAGTCATCTGCTCAAGGAACTTGTCAGACATGGATTCAGAGAATACAACATATTTCTGCCGATATTATTGCCCTACACCAAATAACCCACAAAGATTGCAAATTGGATCAATCAACAAATCCATAATGTTAAAACACTACACAAGAAACAACTGGAGGTCAGCCTCCCAACAGATACAACACCTGGAGAGAATTTGTCTCCTACAGCACAAATGACGTATCAATTTGGGTTTTTATTCCCATGTCACTCAACAACCGCAGTAATTCACTTAACCAATGTGGCAAAAGGATTTGTCGGTGATATCACTGTTGCCCGGAGGGTGCCCAGTTGGGGGGTTCCTTTCACATCCCCATGAAGTTACCCATTGAAGTCGTGCCCATAAATCTGCTCGCGGCCACCCACTTTCGAACTGGAGGTTAGCAGGAGCTGGAGCTTGTGACAGGAACTCGCAACACAACGGGTTTCAAACGCGAGCCATGCATTCTAACCTCGTAAGCCACCACCCTCCATTGATCAACTTGTTAAAGAAGTGTGTTGACAAGCGAGTTCCGAAAGACATAACAGCACTAATTTTTGCCCTTGGGGTTGGAAACCTTAACGATTGTTCTCCATATTGAGGTCAATCACTCTTATCAAAGTTGTGTTACTCACTTGCACTTAAAGTTCTCCCGCGTGAAGTTATGTTGGTGAGGCACCTGAGAGTCCCAGCGTTGGCATTCAATCCCACTCCAGATAGTGTTCACGGTACCTCTGTAGCCTTCACCTTGTCCTTGTATGCACTCGGTTGTTTCAATAACCGCCGAGGAGCTACGCACCACATTCTGAGCTAGAAAAAGAAAAAGGACAATGATTGTTTCTTTCTGATGAGTGGTGCAGTGGCCTAGAACCTATGAAGCAAGGAAGAAGCAATGAGTCCATGAAGCAAGGAAGAAGGCAAGGAGTCCTGCAAATGCCAGACGTCAGCAACGGCACACAAAACTCCACAAATTCAGTGTTTGACAAACACCCTTCCCCACAGCGTCTCTTTAAGTCTCAGTCCCCAGGTGTGCCTTGTGAAGAAGGGGGGGGTGCTCTCCTCCCGCATCGTTGGGTCAGCCTGCACTGTTCCTGCCTCCTCTCCACTCTCTGTGCTCGGGGATCAGGAGGGGGCAGTCCTTGTTCATTGCCCACCCTCCCTTGGTCGTCCTGCCCCCATTCCTCCCTGCTAACAAGCCATCCCAATCCTGAGGGGTCCTCGGCTGACTCATCCTGCTCCTCCCCGCATTCCTCCGAAGCCAACGAGACCGCCCCCTCGACCTCCATTAGCCCCAGTTCCTACTTGTCCTCCTCCATGGATTCAGGTTCTGATGGGGACAGGACACTTTCTATGAGGGCCCTGTTTGTGTTTTGGGGGATTAAGGACTCCCACTTCAAAATGTAGGAAGTTAACGGAATTATGTGCCTGCTTGAGAATAATCAATCCCAAATGTTTAACTGGCCACACTGATCAGCATTTACACATGAAGCTGGTGCAAAGGAATCTGTTGTGGCCCGCCAGTGGCCAGTGGAACTGGCAGCAGAGTTGGACAGTGAGGAGGTTGGGGAGGAACTTGGGCCAGTCCTGGGGGCTGTGGAAAGCTCAGACAAGGGCTCTGCATTGGAGGCAGAGAGGGGGCCAAGGCCATCTGATAGTTATGTGCAGCCTCCGGAGTCTGACAGTAGCGAGGCAGAAGAACAGTGTGAGCTTGTTCCCAGTGTGCACATGCATAGAACTGCCAGATGACAAGAACAATTAAGAAAACAGGGTTGACTTGGGAGTAAGGCTTGGAGATGATTCGCCCCTCCCATAAAATATAAAAAAGAGCAAATGGGACGTGAGCTTTTGCAGGAAGCAATTAGTTCATCTGGCTGATTCAAGATGTGAAAATTCTGTTTGTGACTCTGTGCCAAGTTTGGCCTTGCCCTGCATCTGGAAATTAGCTCTCTGGCAGCATTCCATGTGAGATAGGTGGGTGTTGATAAACTTCCTCTGAAAGACTGTTTATCAAACCTTGCGGACTGTAAATGAAAGTAATTTGCAGTCGAATAAATAAAAGAGGTTTTCCGGGACTAAGATTGTGCTTTATACTTTCTAAGGAAGCCTAGGTCAGAACAGGAATCCTTCAGGAGTAACATTTGCAACCATAACCTCAATCCTACACAAAGCAAACATATTAAACATATCTCTCCCCCTTGAGTTCAAAGAAATATACTGTGCAAAATTTTAAAGTCCTGAATTCCTCTTTGGGTAACTTTGCAAAACTTGGATCTCTGACGCACGGAAGTAACTCATCAAAGAACTCCTTGAAATTAATATTCTGAAAGAGTGATTAAGCTAATGTTTATGCACGTGGAAGAACAGCCTAGCTTCTGCAAGATCTGATATAAAAAAATTCTCCACGGAGCAGTATCTTTGGAAGAAACAGCCCATTTCTGGGAGTAAAGATCTTTTTGGAGCATTCTGCAGTCTTAAGAGAAGGTTTATCATGAGATCTTTGAAAATGAGAGTTAGAAAGAGACACGTTTGTCAGATAGGTCTTTGCTGAAGTTTCTCACAACTGAAACATCGCTGATCATTTAAAATATTGATAGAACCCAAGGCTCTGCATATATAAATATCAGAGCAAGCCTTAATAATATATAATAAGAACGCAGTAGTTATAAGTAAGGAAAGAGCAGAAAATCTGCTACAGTTTCTTGTCCTGCCTTCAAGTCCTTTGGAGAATAGATTGACCCCCTCTTCTTTGGGGCAACCCCTCAAATACTGGAAGATTGCTATCATCTCCCCACTAGTCCTTTTTCCATTAATCTAGACTAGAGGTCGGCAATCTTAAACACTCAAAGAGCCACAAAGGTCCTAACCGGAAGCCCCCCATTCAATTCTGGAGCCAACCAGAAGTCCGGTTCCCCCACCATAGAGTCTCCTCCTAGTGTGGCATCCTTTTTCCTCTGCTGACCGGAAGTCTGATTCCCCCACCATAGAGTCTCTTCCTAGCGCGGCGTCCTTTTTCTTCTACCTGTCCTAACTGAAAGTCCTATCAATTGTGGAGCCGACCGGCAACAGGGAGCCGCAGCAGAGGGATGAAAGAGCCACATGCGGCTCCAGAGCCACGGGTTGCTGACTAAATATACCTAAATCCTGCAACTGTTCTTCATTTGGTTTAGCTTCCAGTCCCCTAATCATTCTTGTTGCTCTTCTCTGCACTCTTTCCAAAGTCTCAACATCTTTTTTTTATATTGTGGTGACCAGAATATACTTTACACTGGTGGTACATTAGTGTTAATGCAGTGATATAGAAGGAGTAAGACGCAGCCATCAATGGGGGGGGGGAAACAATCAATAAAAACTAAATCCTGCTACAGAGAAGGATGACGTACTCCTGTTGCTATTTTAAGGAAGTGCACCCGCTCCCTTCACGTGTATCAAGACCCTTTGCAGCATATCGATGCTTTCCTGAGGCTCAGTTTTATCTTTCCCCAAATGCATATAAATGCTTTATCACGGTGGTTTTGCATAATTTCCTGCCAAGATTGTTCAGCTTCATTTCCTAAGGAGAGTTAATGGTAAAGAATGATTGGTGGGCTTAAAAGCTTCTGAATTCCCAACTCAGTCTGCAACAGGAAGAATTAAAAAAAATAAAAATAATTCCACCTTGATTCTCAAGAGTTTACAAGATCAACACACTTTTAGGTGAGATCTGTTTTTCTGGAGTTTTAAATGTTTCTCTTTCTCCTCTTCCTCCTCCTCTTCCTCCTCCTTCTCCCTTTCCCTCTCAGGCAGGAGACGAAGAGAACAATGGCTCCTTCACATATTTCCAGAAAAACCCACAGAAAGACGTTCCACAAGGAAATCTCAAGTTGACCAAATATGGCACTGGGAGCAGTGGCAGGATTCAGCCGGTTTGGGAAAACCGGTAGTTAAATTGCTGGCTGGCCCCTCCCCTGCCCGCCCCTTCCAGGAGTCCCCATGCACCCCATTTTGGCTCCCAGGTAAATGCAGGGAGGCCTACTAGGCCCAAAATTGGGCGTGTGTCTGTGGGGGATGCGACACCCCCCGCTGCCCATTTTTGCTCCCAGGAGGTTGTAGGGAGGCCTACTAGGCCCAAAATGGGGTGTGAGGGGGGCACCGCATCCTCCCCCACGGCCTGATTTTGCTCCCAGGGGGTGCAGGAGGCCGAGTGCTACCTGTCACACACCCCTGGCCATGCCCACCATGGCCACACCCATCCACACCGTCATTAGGGCAGAGAACCAGTTGTTAACTAAGAACTGGTTGGAAAAATTTCCATAACTACCTTATGAATTAACAATTGTACTGTGTTAAAAGCCCATTGGGTTGGTTGAGGCCTCCCGAGTTGGCCTGAAGAGTTTTGATATATGCAGTTTGGCAGTTCTCTTGATCCCTTCCACTCTCTTCCCTCCCCATAGTCCAATTTAAATCCTGCCTCGGCCTAGCAACTCTACGCATCTGACAGGGTGAACTGAGGCTTATGAAAGATTCTGCCTTTTAATAAGGCTTGTTAGACGGGAAAGGAGCTACCTGAATCCTGATGATATTATTATTATTATTATTATTATTATTATTATTATTATTATTATTACTATTAGCAACCATAGAGTCAAACGGCATTTCTCCTGCAATGAACAGAAACTCCGGGGGTAATTGGACAGGAACGGGACAATTCCAATCATGTGAATTTGATTGTTCTATTCTGGATATGACTCACAGAAGGGAAAAAAATGCAATAAGAATTGTCATCCCATATTGTGTAACGGAATACAACATTGTAAACGCAGGTTTGGCTCCAACGTCAGATTTTTGTCTGCTTGTCTGCTTAATTCATGAATGAGCTCTCACTGCAATGCGTCTGTCTGTCTGTCTGTCTGTCTGTCTGTCTGTCTGTCTGTCTGTCTATCTATCTATCTATCTATCTATCTATCTATCTATCTATCTATCATCTCTATTTTTCCCACTATCTCATCTATCTATATCTGTCATTTATCTATGTCTATCAATCATCTATCCAGATATACATCACAGACTGATTAATTCATGAATGAGCTCTCATTGCAGTGGCATCTATCTATCTATCTATCTATCTATCTATCTATCTATCTATCTATCTATCTATCTATCTATCATCTATCATCTATCTATCTATCCATCCATCCATCTTCTCTATCTCTATTTCTCTCACTCACTCACTATCATCTACCCTCCACCCTCTCTCTCATTTATTTCTCCCTCCCTCCCTCTCTTTCATCTATCTATATCTATCTGTCATTTATCTTTCTATCAATCATCTATCCATCCATATCCTGTCTGTTGTCTTAGAAAGAACTGTCTTCTTCTTCTTCTTCTTCTTCTTCTTCTTCTTCTTCTTCTTCTTCCTCTTCCTCTTCCTCTTCCTCTTCTTCTTCCTCTTCTACTTCTTCTAGGTGTGGGCACATGCATGCACGACCCCCCCCATGTTCCCCCCACTTTTGGCACGTGACGGCAAAAAGGTTAGCCATCACTGTTTTAGAAGTTAAAACACTGAGGTACATCGTATCCAGACATCTTATAAAGGCAGCAGATGTTCGTGTTCCCAAGAGAAGTCTTCCAACTTCGGTTTTACATGTTAACAGCTAGCATAAAAATAACACCTGTTAGACAAGGCGTGTAACAATTGCTTCTCAGATTTTTTTTTGCTACTTCCATAACTTGTTGATAGACGGCATGGGAAAATCCAGCATTTGCTGGACGGATGCAAAGCTGAATCAGAGATCCGGCATACTGGTTTGTTCTATTTTAACCGAATAACAGAGTTGGAAGGGACCTTGGAGGTCATCTAGTCCAACGCCCTGCTCAAGCAGGAGACCCTATGCCATTCCAGACAAGTGGCTTTCCAGTTTTCTTCTTAAAAGCCTCCAGCGTTAAAAGTAAAACAATGGACATTGCTCAACGTCTCTGGTTTCTAACATTTGCGTCTAAGTCAAGTTAATAAGTAATCTGTTCCTTGATCTATATACTTTTAAAACTAATAAAATATTTAAAATTAAAAAAAAATTAAAAGCCTCCAGTGATGGAGCATCCACAACTTCTGGAGGAAAGCTGTTTCACTGATTAATTGTTCTCACTGTTAGGAAGTTTCTCCTTAATTCCAGGTTGTTTCTCTCCTTGATGGATTTCCCTCCATTGTTTCCTGTCCTGCCCTCTGGTGCTTTGGAAAATAAGTTGATCTCCTCCTCTTTGTGGCAGCCCCCCAAATACTGGAAGACTTCTGTCATGTCACCCTTAGTGTCAACACAATGTAAACATCACAGAAGATGAGACTTTACAAAATTAAACCTGAGTCAGCATGCAATTCAGCATCGTCCTTATCCCGAGGACATTCTTGACATCTGGACTTTGGAAAAGAAAAGAAACGAAATCTTTCAAGAAAGCAGGCTTATGTTCAACTCACCGCATGTTTTAATTGAGCAAAACTCCCAGGGGGTGTTTGGGTCAAGGGTGTAACACCATGGCCTCGGTTTACCATCCGGATTTCGGCAATAGTTATCATCAAAGCCTTTGTCGGGGTATCTGCAAACCACACCAACGAGCATGTTAACTGAGACAGCTGCCAGGAGAAGACAAGCAGATACAAGATACATTCCCCCCCCAATGACCCCCAACCCATAGAAGAATACAATCCCAATGACCCCCAACTCGTAGAAGAATAGATACAATCCCCCCAATGACCCCCAGCTCATAGAAGAATAGATACAATCCCAATGACCCCCAACCCACAGAATAGATACATTCCCACCCAATGACCCCCAACCCACAGAATAGATACATTCCCACCCAATGACCCCAACTCAGAGAAGAATAGCTACAATCCCCCCAATGACTCCCAACTTAGAGAAGAATACATTCCCCGCAATGACTCTCAACTCACAGAAGAATAGATACAATCCCCCCCATGACCCCCAACCCAGAGAAGAGTCCAAACATGTGAGCTACTGAATGACAGGAGGTTTATGGTCACGAAGAGATCCCTCAGCAGAAATCCTATCTTGACTAAAGGACCTCTTTCGATAGGCTGTAGACCATCCGGGGTGAGGTCAATCTGCTAATTGGGTCATTTCTCCCCATTAGGGTCCATTCCGTGACACACTAGCCTTAATTGGCCTCCTTCCGATGGCCCAATTAAGTGCGAGCAATGTAAACATTTTCACGGGATGGCAGGCTCCTTAAACAAAAGGGATTCTTTAGTTCAACAGCCCTGGGTTCAAAGCTATGTTCAACAAACCCAAGTTCTATTTTTAGGAGCCAGCGTATTTCGAGGTCATGCCCTCATTTCCAGTCACTGTAGGGAACAAGTCAAGAAGAAATTAAATTTCCCTTTGCGCCCTCCTGTATCTTGTTAGGGTCATTTTTTTTCCTGCTCCCTGCTTCTAATTAATCTCCATACCCTTTCCTTAATTATTTGTGAAGGAAATCAAGAGGTGGTGGACTTACAAGCTTCTTGGATGAATAGCTTTCCATTATTCATTTAGAACTCCTTGTCTGTTGGTTTTAAGTTTATTATTTCTAGTCTCCTGGCAGGGGAAGGTTAGATTAAATTTAAAGGAAGACACAATGCAACTATCTTTGAGTGGAGGCCTTTTAAGAATTTCTATCGATGTGGTCCTTACCGGAAGATTAAAACCCCTAATTTACAATTAGCCTACTGGAGAAAGTTCTTTTTATCCTCAAAAAAATATCTCTTCCTCAAACTTATTTGATCACTGCAGAATTCTGTTCCTTTTAAGAGAAGAAGCTCAACGTGATTATGATGTCCTTGCAACCAAACCAGAAGGAGATGGCTTCCACGGATTGGAACTCTGTGGAACGTCTTGCCACTAGATGTTGTGGGTGCTCCATCACTGAAGGTTTCTAAGAGATTGGACAACCATTTGTCCAGAATTGTATAGGAGTCGTATTATTATTATTATTATTATTATTATTATTATTATTATTATTATTATTATTATTATTATTATTATTATTATTATTATTATTATTATTATTATTATTATTATTTATTGGTTAATCTTTAGTGAGATTCACAGCCTTTGAGGCTGGTTAATAGCTCAGCAGCTCGAGTCCTAACCAAGGACGTAGGAACCGTTAAGGTATCGTCGGAGGATGTAAGCTGTTCCGAGTAAGGTGGTTTTTTGTAGAGTCAAAATGTTCAAGTCTGGCAAATTTAGAATTTCTAAATAGCGGGGTAGCCCTTTGGGTATTGCTCCGAGGGCTCCAATTACAATCGGGACAACACACGATTTCTTTTTCCACAATCGCTCAACTTCAATTTGCAAGTCCCGATACTTTGTGATTTTTTCTTGCTGCTTATCTTCAATTCGTGCATCACCAGGTATTGCAATGTCAATGAACCATACTTTTTTCTTTTTCAACTATTGTTATGTCAGGTGTGTTGTGGACCAAGTGCCTGTCAGTCTATTATTATTATTATTATTATTATTATTATTATTATTATTATTATTATTATTATTATTATTATTATTATTATTATTATTATTATTTCAATTTATATACCACCCTTCTCCTATTGGACTCAGGGCGGTGCACAGCCAAGGATAAAAAAACGCACCAATACAAAATTTAAAATCGACTTCCGGTTTCCTTGTCTTCGGCGACGGCGGCGCTCTTTGAAGCTCCGCCAGCCCCGCCGCCTGTAGAGCCGCTTCGCGATCGAGAAGCGGCTCGAAAACTTCAAAATCCTGAGGATTGTTGGAGGAGAGATAGCAGGGCACAGGTCGAGCCCCTGTAACCCCCCAGGGAATTGTTTCTGGGGAGGAAACAGGCGCGGCTCCCTTCCAACCTGCTGAGACTCCGGGCGGCGTGGGACGATTCTGCTTTTGCAGAACAAGCCGGCTGCAGGAAACTTAAAGCGAAAGAACCAGCTTTAATAAACAGCGAAACTACCTGAATCCTGAAATTTGGAAACGCAAGTATTAGCACTTTGTTGACTTTTCAATCTGAGAAAATGCAAATGAGTGAAAGTGCTTTGAAAAAACATGGCGCCTAGCTTCAGAGTTAACGAGCCAGCGAGTGTGGATTGGTGAAGTTACTTTGTTTTGCTACAAAGTTTCCAAGTTGCTACTAAGCTGCCTTGCTTGTTATAAGAGAAATAACTCGGAAATTTTTTCCCTTTTCAATATTGGACTTTGCTTTATTTTAACCCTTGTTTGATCAAATCTGGGGGACTTTTTTAGAAGTCTTTGTGCAGGAGGGAAAGGAAAAGGAACCTCCCTCTTTAGAAAAACTAGATCACGAGCCAGGATGGCTTCAAAGAAGCAGGAAGGGAAGGCATTAGGGGGGGGATCCCCCTCACACAAACAGCAAACGCAACTTCCCCCTGCTCAACAGTTACAAACTCAGAAAAAAGAATTTGATGTGGCAGATTTAAAAGAATTTATTTCTAAAACTTTGGATGATAAATTTCAAGAATCACAACAGGAACTTCAAAAATCACATCAGGAATTTTTGCAGGAAATTAATGAAATTAAAGACATGGTGAAACAGAATCAAATTATGGTGACCAAAAAAATATCAGAAGTGGCGTCTGGCCTGGCAGATTTTATTGGGAAAGTTGATTTTAAAGTTGAAGAATTTAAATCAGAAGTTAATGTTAGGATGAAAGACAATGATTATAAAATTGATGAAGTTGACAATAAAATGCAGAGAATTGAAGATGAGATTGTTATGATACAATTCCGGGCGATGGAATTTGCCATACGGCTTCGGGGAATTCGAGAGGAGGAAAGACAGGACTTGAGACAAGTTTGCTCTGAAGCCCTGGCTAAGATTCTACAAGTTAATCCTGATTTGGTATTTCATAAAATAGATAAAATTTACAGAGTGAACTCTTGGGTGGCCAGGCAAAGACAATTACCCAGAGATGTGGTCATATACTTTACTGAGAGAGAAATTAGAAATGATATCCTGCAAAAATCTTTCCACACCTCTATACAAGTGGGGGGCTCACGGCTTGTAATTTTTAAAGAGTTACCTCCTAAAATGCTGAAAGCTAGAAAAGAATTTGGTTTTCTTGTTAAGGAATTGAAAAATTTACAGATACCCTTCCGGTGGGATGCACCAGCTGGGGTAATTTTCAGATATAAGGGAGAAGGATATCGGTTGAATACCGTGGAGAAGGCGCAACACTTTTACAGTACTATTCTTATGGAAAGAACACCATCTCCACGTACATCTACAGTTCTGGAGATTAAGGAGAGTGAAGAGAGGCAATTGAAAGAACAGTCTAAGCAGGAATTAGAAAACGTGCAAGGTGCAGAAGGAGGTATTCTGAGTGAGCCATCGCTGGATTCTTCTCCAATTTTGGATTTGATTCAGTTGACTGAAGTTAAAGATCAACGTATAACTAGAGCTCAATCCAAGCTACTTAAACAGAAGCAACAACAACAACAGGAAAGACAAGACAAGAAGGCAGTTAAGAGCACTGCACAAGAGATTGGCGCTATGGGAGGAGCGAGATCGAAGCTTGTGGATCAACTTCAAGCATATTGCTCCGCGCTCCATGAAGAGGCTAATGACCTTTAAGTGTTTATCTTGGAATGTCAATGGGTTGAATTCAGCACAGAAAAGGAAAAAATTATTTACATATTTGAAACAATTTAATAATGATATAATATGTTTACAAGAAACGCACATTACAACTCAAGATCAAAAATATTTGATAAACTCAAAACTAGGAGCACATTATATATCTTCAACTTCGCAGAAAAAGAATGGTGTGGTTATTTATGTAAATAAAAAATTAACAGCAAAAGTTATAGAAGTAGATCAAGATGGTAGATTTGTAGCAATTGAATTGTTTACAGCAAATGGTCAAATTCTTTTGATTGGAATTTATGCTCCCAACCAACAACAGGATTATTTTTACAAGATGTTACATACTAAAATATTGCAATGGGACTACAGATCTATTTTAATTATGGGAGATTGGAATGGAGTAATCGATTCTAAATTAGATAAAAAGAGCTTGGCAAAGTCTAGAATTAGATTACCACAGACCTTTTTTGATATGAAAGAAGATATGGAACTAAAAGATGTTTGGAGAATACATAACCCAAATGAATTGGATTACACTTTTTTTTCTGATAGACATAGATCTTTTTCTAGGATTGATTTTATCTTGTTGTCAAATGATCTACTTGTTAAGACAAAAAGAACAAAGATTTTTCCAAGAATTTTGACTGATCATAGTCCTGTATGGATAGAAATCGAGATGGATAAGGTTGAGAGACGTTCTTGGAGATTAAATGAGAACCTGTTTAGATATGAAAAAAATATAATAGAACTTAAAAAGCATTTGAAAGAATTTTTTGAAATAAATTTGAATAAAGGTACCCCAGTTGAAATTGTTTGGGATGCAAGTAAAGCTTATATGAGAGGGGTACTTATCTACATGAATTCTAAACATAGACTGTTCCGACAAAAGAAAAGATCTGAGTTGGAAATGGAAATAAAGAATAAAGAACAGTTACTTATTAAAAACCCAACAGATGAAA